GCATTTCCCAGTAGACCCAGAAGTGGACTAGAAGTACTTCTGGTCCACTTCTGGGTTTGCCACCAAGCATTCAGGGACCACCCCCTCCTGCGCTCCTGTAGGATGCTCCATCCGCCCCAGCATCACAGCATTCATGAACCATACCCAATACCTCAAGGTATGTAGAAAAAACATTTAAAGCTGTGTCTACGGCCAAATCGCTGATTCTCCGAATCAGCATCAAATCTTCAGATGCGGATTTGGCCAACGAATTGAATCACTGTCCCTGATTCAGGCCGGATCCAAATCTGAATTGAATATAGCCTGTTTTGAACACCCCTAGTATCTAGCATAGAATATTCCAGCTTAAATAAAGTTTTAGAGAGTTAAAAGTAACTGGATAGATTCTGAAAAAGGGTCCTTAATGGGAAACACTATGCAACTTTAATAGTAGGTAGTGCTATCCAGCCTGTCTATAATGTATATTTCCTGTTGCAAGGAGTAAATATCAACACATCTTTCAAGGAAATTTTTAGTGTAAAAATGCTCCACAGTAGAATGCACTGACATAACTGATGATATAATATGCTAACCCTCAGGGTCTTTTAATTAGCTATTAAATTACCACTTTTCCTTCAGATTTCTATGTGGGTCAGTGAAACAAAGAGGTTTAATACATTTTGATGCACAAACTGTTCCCTAAAAAGAGACTTTAATAATTTTTCAGCCTCCAGGGGTGTGAATATAGTTGTTAGGTTCCCCTCAGTGCTTTATGTATTAAAAGCAGATAATTATAGGAAGATTTCAGTATATTCATCCCATTACACACAATTGCTCTTTACTACTAAAATGGGAAAATTCACATGGTGATCATTTATTTGATGTAAGAAAAAAAAGCGAAAACAAAAGATGGGGAATAAAAAGTTCTGAGGGAATTAGTGTTGAGGGAATTGGCTGAGGTCATTGCGGGACCCCTGGCACAGCTTTACGAGCACTTATGGTGCTCTGGTGTGGTGCCAGAGGACTGGAAGAGGGCCAGCGTGGTTCCCATCTTCAAAAAAGGGAGGAAGGAGGACCCAGGAAACTATAGACCAGTCAGTCTTATCTCGATCCTGGGTAAGCTTTTTGAGAGAATTATCCTGGCGTATGTCCACAAGGGGCCAGCAGGGGAGTGTATGCTTAGGGGCAATCAACACGGTTTCATTAGAGGCAGGTCCTGTCAGACCAACCTGGTGGCCTTCTATGACCAGGTCACCAAATCCTTAGATGCAGGGGTAGCAGTGGACATAGTCTTTCTGGACTTTAGGAAGGCCTTCGACACTGTGTCTCACCCCATTCTCATTAAA